CTTGTCTGCCTATTCCTCCATCTTACCGAGAATTCTCATTTCTTGAAGAAACTCATTTTCTGTGTCCTGATTAAGTCACTTCATCGTCTCATTCACTTTCATTATTTTAATGATTAAAACAACCAATCTCTAAAATAGTCCCTTCTACCTCTAGCACATGGAGCTCTGGTGGTGCAGTGCCTAAGGCATCTGACTGCTGACCAGAAGGGTAGAGGTTCAAACCCACCAGCCACACTGTAGAAAGAAGGTGGGGCAGTCTACTTCCCTAAAGATTTAGGGAGCTCTGGTGGTGCAGTGCCTAAGGCATTTGACTGCTGACCAGAAGGGTGGAGGTTCAAACCCACCAGCCACACTGCAGAAGGAAGGTGGGGCAATCTACTTCCCTAAAGATTTAGGGAGCTCTGGTGGTGCAGTGCTGAATTGTGCTGGTCCTCTTCGAGAGTTCAGGCCTGAACTTCTCCAACTCTCTTTTCCCATTACTCCACTTAGGCAACGGCTAGGGCTGAGTTGAAGCAGGAAAACAAGACAGGCTGCAGTTTCCCTCCAGCACAAGAATGACTGTGATCAACTCTCTTTATCCTTAAGCAAAAGCCCCACCTGCTAGTATCAAAAGTTAAGAGAAAGTGAAGACTATGTCCATTAAGTTTAAATTAAGACCTTGACCCAGTATCCAGTGTACTTCAGTGGAAATCACCAGCACGCTGACGACTTCTAATTTTAACAGCTACTGCTGTTTCTCTGAGAAATTATTCCTACTGAGAAATCATTCGGGAAGGAGGAAACATACAGTGGAAGACTTTAAATAACCTACAGTCAATACCTTATTTACATGTTTCATATCTGTAACCCTTGGAAGAAAAGCCTGGCAATCCACTTCCAAAAATCCAGCCATTGAAAAGCTCCGGGACCCACAGCGCTGCTCTGACACACAGCATTGACAACTGGCTTTTCTTCTTTTAAAAATATATAATTCACAACCTATACAACTATGAGACCAGAAGAACTAGATGGTGCCC